GAATGTATTTAGAAATGAAGTGACACAGAATTGGGTCAAGGATTTAAAACTAACCATTCATTTCATATTAAAAGTTCTACAACTAGTGTTCCCTTCTCAAGTCTGTCACTAACAAATATTGAAGCATACTGGCTTAAATTTGTTAGGACACTCAGTTGGGATAATTAGATTTTCTCAAATTTAATATTGTTCATTTGAGTTGAATCTTCAACTTTCGGAAGTGTCTTGCTTTTAGGGTCATGTCTTCTGGTTTTTCTAGTTTTTAGCTACTTGGCAAGTGAGAAGTGGTTGCAGCCTAATGGTTATCTCTTAAAAAGTTTAGACAACTTTAAATAGTGTGTTGTATTCTAAAAAGGATGAATTGGATGATTTTACTGACTTCATAAAAACAATGTGCATAATGAGATGTTAAAGAACTATTGAAGTTAGTAAAGATAATTTTATTTTCTTATGGAAAGGGACTAGAATATGTTGGTTTAGCGACTGTGGTATTCAGGGATATCCATCAATGACATTTGATTAGAATATAAAAATGAATCATAATTTAACCCTAAAATAAAATATCTAAAACTGTATGTATAATTGTGATAAAAAAAAAGTTGTTGATTGATTTATTTTCCTTTTTGAATGCTGGCTGATCCATAATGTCTTTAATTTGAAGTTCCTCTATGAAGTTCAGTAATAGTCAGCACAAAAATAGTTTAAACATTGCCACATTAACCAAGCTAGTGCTTCAAAGGTGCTGTCCTACCCATTTCATCAGTAAACTTGACTGAAGAAGAATAAGACTGACATTGATTACCAGAATGTATCCCCAAAGAGAAGCCAGTTTCCAGGGAAATATAATCAAGTGGAACACAAGTAGTAAATATTCTGAGGAGAGCATTAGTAGTTTTCTGTTCTGAAAAATAAATGCTGTTGCTTAAACAAGACTTGCTATAGCCATCTGAAAGCTCCCATTCTCTTCTTTTACCTTTGGTTTCCTTTCTCATTATTGTGTATGGGAGACTTTACTCTCAAGGTCTTCATCCTTACAATGGAGATAATGATACCTACTTTAGAGTGCTTTGTGAGAATTAGAGATGATATACTGAGGTGTCCTGCAAATGGTAATTATAGTGATATAATCGTTGATATTCCCAGACACTATCTTTTCCTTGACAGCAAATTGTTTCACCGTTTCAGTTGCACTCCAAGGAGTGTTGTCTAGAAATAATTCTCGGAAGTTTAATATTACTGTGATTTGCTCTTGTCATAACTTTGCCTGAATTAGGAACAGGTATACTAGCCATTGGTTACTTGTGGTCAGTGCCACCTGGCATTGTTGTTAACAGTGAGATAAACACATTAATATGAATTTGAAGATAAAGGTGACAGTTACCAGAAAGTGAGGTTATGATAATGGAGAGTAACTATCTTGATTTGCCTTAGACCAAGGGGTTTCTGGAATGCAGGGCTTTCAGTGTTAAAACTAAGAACATGCGTGCAAACTGAGATGAGTTGGTCACCTTGTCTTTTGGACATGACTTAGTTTTGTTCATTGCTGTATATCCACAGCTTCAAACAGTGCCTGGTGTTAAGTAGGTCCCTCAATTTATATTCACTAAATGAATCCATTCTAAAATAAACATAATATAATAATTTTTTCCACTTTTACCATTTACTTCTTTTGCTCCTCCAGTGTTTCCCCACCATCTCTTCCTTTCTATCCTGTTTATACATTCAAAACATCAATAATTCCACAGACATATGTGCTAGTTGTGGAATAGCTGATGCTTAAATTTGAAATACCTACCATTGCTTCAAGGCTCAACAAATGAGAAAATAGGTGAAAACACTTTCTAAGCTACAAAGCATATAATTTTTACTTTTGAATTATTGTACCTTATGAATGCCTAATGGTATCCCACCAGCTTCCAAGAGCTCATGGTTTATTTCTGACATTAATTGTCGATTTTTTACTACTTAATATTAGTGCTTGCCTTGATTACTAAAATAGCTTTCAAGTAATAGTTACTAATCACTCTCAGGGTTTATAATAAATTGAGTTTTACAATAGTTTAATGATAATATCATTGAAATAAAACTGTTGGCCAATAGATTATTTTAGTAGCACCTATTTTCTGATGAATATTTGTTGGCACTTGTCTTTGATAAGAAATGTGATGATATTTTTGTTCATAAGATATATATAGGGCTGGGCGCGGTGGCTCACGCTTGTAATCCCAGCACTTTGGGAGGCTAAGGTGGGCGGATCACGAGGTCAGGATATCGAGACCGTTCTGGCTAACGCAGTGAAACCTCGTCTCTACTAAAAATACAAAAAATTAGCTGGGCATGGTGGCATTCACCTGTAGTCCCAGCTACTCTGGAGGCTGAGACAGGAGACTTGCTTGAACCCGGGAGGTGGAGGTTGCAGCAAGCTGAGATCATGCCACTGCACTCCAGCCTGGGCAACAGAGCCAGACTCCATCTAAAAAATATATATATATATATATATATATATATAAAATCTCCAGCTTTCAAGCGTTTTTCAATATTGTGAAAGTTTCAATTCTTCTTGAAGGTAAAATTTATATTAATCATAATATAACTGTCAGGTCATTTAAGTGGGATTAAATAGTAGAATGAAAAAGAGGCACACGTCAATGCCTTGGCAATAATTCACTCACTTACATGAGTTGCCCCAGTATTGTTTAGAATTGAATTTCAGATTGCATAACTAAATGTTGGGCAGTAGTGACAGATTCTGATTTTATACTTCTCTTAGAAAAACTGAAAATATGCCGAAAAAACCAGGGATACAATCTACTTTCACATAGGGTTAAGAATATGTATTGAAAAACCAAAATGTTATTGAGCAGATAAACATTGTCATTAATTATTTTAGAGTGACTTGTCTGCAAGACTCTTGAAAATGTTTCAGATGAAAATACATAGCTACTTCACATTTTTTTTAAGGTCAGAATTAACTGAAGTTCATTCTCTAACAATCCATTTATGCTGAGAAACATCTTTACAAGCATCAGTTAGTCTGCTTCAGGGCAACTGGAAAGAGAAACTATATTACTTTTCTCATTTTGTAAAACATTATTATGATTATTTTAATAGAAGTAGCTACAGGACCTGGAAGTCCATTTCAGCATCTAGCTTTTAAGGTATTTTACAAATTGTATTAAGATTAATATTTTTTATAATAATTCCATTAGGAAAACCTGAGATTTCTCTAGTGTTACAAATTTTTTGATTAAAATTGTATAGTAACTAGCATAAAAAAGTATATATCATATATTTATTTTGTGCATATTTTAATATATTTATTTGAGGTTTCATATATTCCTCTTAGAAGTCTATGCATGTTACAAAACTAGCAAATGTGCTTAAATAGCAATTGGTGAGCTCGACTTTTTACCTCTTTCAATGTGGAAGTAAGGGCTGAAGAAGTAAGGGGGTTAACTAACTGCCATTTAGCAGATGTAGTATAGGCAAAATAGTTGCTAAGCGTGCCCATAATGGGTTTCCGCCAAGATAGCTGAGGTAGGGTTGATCAAGGTGGATGATCTGGCAAATTTTCAAGGTTAGGACATCAATCAGAATGTGTTCTACTGTTGCCACACAGATCAGCCCCTCTCCTTCAAACGACATTGAATCTTCCCTTTCATCAGGATAAAAAGCAATATATTCACTACTCTGGCAATGAGATAAAGGCAGGATTGATGCCATTTGGACAAGTCAAATTCAGCAATTCAGCGTCAAATATATAATAAAGTGAAGCATTAATAATCTGGAAAATGAAATTAAATTACTAGACCAAATAATGAAAAATAAGACTTCATGGTCTGATTTTCGTGGGCCCTTCCTTTCTGTATTTTGTGCAAGGGACAGACAGATGTGTTCATTTTCTGCATAGAAAAATATTTACCAACAAAGATTTTTCCAATATCATGTGCTTTCATTAAAATAGCTTCATCTATTGTCTGTCTTGCAGCAAGTTCCTCTGTTTTTCGTTTTTTTTTTTTTTTAAATCCTGGGCAAAACAAAAAATGAACAGCAGTTTTACATTTTACTGCTAAACATATTATAAAATTTAATTATATAATTTTACATATAATTTATATAGTTTTCTCAAGGTTGAAATTTCGGAAGTTCTGTTGGCAGCAGTTTAAGAAACAGAAGGATGTGAACTGGTATGTGTTTTGAGAATGCTTCATTCAGTATCTAAATTTGGATCCTAATTGACAGTGTGCTACATTAATTCTAGAAGATTTCTTTTTTCTCTCATACAGCCAGATGTATCTTGCTCTGTATCCTGATGGAGCATGAGAAGAGAGTAGTGTCCCAGCTGCTTCCTATGTAATATGTACAGGGCTTTTAGGAATCCATATTTCTTCTTGGAAAAGAAGAGAAAGAATCACAGGGGCTTTGATTTTTGGAAGATAACTTTTTCGACTCATTTTTATCAGAAGTAGCTGTTATACAGAATCACATTCTAATCAAATATAAAGATGCATATGTAATTTGAGGATATATTTTTATAAGAGATTTGATTATATGCTACTATTTTTAAGGGAAACAGACAAACAGCTTCTTAGCAGAGTGTGACTGCTTACCCAGGCATTCACATGCTATGTCTGTGATAGTTCATGATATCATTATTTTCAAGATTCTTATTAAAACAAGCTGAAGCACCAAATAACTAATTGAACACAATATTTTAAAATTACATTGCTTTAGAGTATCACATTTATTTGTTAGCACTCGTCTAACTCTTATACTTTATCTAAATATCTTGAAGATTATTCCAAAATGATAAGAGATTGAAGTTGGTTTTGTTTGTTTTTTTTTTTTTTTTTTTTTTTTTTTTTTCTTTTTTTTTTTTTTTTTTTTTTCACCTTGATCAATCTTTACCTTAAAAATGTTGGATACTCTGGGGCTATCTACTTAATACGTTTTCATGTTTCAGTGAAGGCTTATTCTTAATGTGCCTTCTTTTTCTTTGCGCTGTGTAAATATTTATCACTCTTCCATGTGCAAATAACTTGTTTCAGTCTTTGAAAAAGACGATACATTATTTCAGAATATTTGAAATTTGAGAGGAAATTATTAAAGTTATATCTGGGTCTATGTGAGCTAAACCAAATCCTTCTATTATTTTGCTAATGCAAATACATCTGTATACTTTTCAAAAGAGTGTTCGAGATTAAGGTCATGGACAGATGTGGAAGAGAAAATTCCTGAATAGAAACAGATGTTAGAGAATCTTCTTCCTAAAGCCTCTTTGATGTTTAGGGAAGCAAACTGCATACTATTAGTAGGAGATACAAACACAAACACACACACACACACAGAGAGAGAAATATCAATCATTGGGTTACTTTAACTTGGTGAATTGTAAATGGTGTATTTTTTGGTGTACATATTTCAGAATACTGCCACCCAGTTGTCTTTGGATAGAATAAAATGAGCAGTAGACACAGAATTGTATTTTGGTACAACAATATAGCGAACATTTAAACAGTCACGTAGGCTTCCTGCCAAACCAAGTAAATTCATGTGTGTAATGGTCTCTAACATATCAGTGCAGCTACTGTTCTGATGGGCCAAGGACCAAATATGTTATGCAGGGAAAATAGAGGCTTGCTGTTAATCAGAAATATCTGGAATACATTTGAGTTTTCTTTAAATAGTAGATTTATGGCACTCTATCCTTTATCCCCAAAACCTGCAATGAGGACTTTTGGTCAAAAGAGTTTCTAAATTTATTGTCGAAATCAAGTCTGGTTTATTTAAACCTTGTGTCAAGTTTTTTCCCAAAACATATTCATTAGTACTATACTGTGATCTCCTAGGAGACTGAATTGCATGCTTTGGATTCCAACCTAACTTTTTAAGTGCAGTTCACCTTTCATCCTATTTAGTAGCCCTTGTCTAACTGCTCAGCCACCTCTCACAGCCAAGGGTAACTGCATACTTGGACTAAACCTATATGAATTAAAAGCTTAAAATGAAAGAAGCTTCAGAGTCAGCAAAGACAGAGTTTGGTGGATGCAAGCCAAGTAGAGAAAGGAGGATCATTTTCCCTTTCGATTTATATCACTTTTCTTTGTACTAGCACTTGCTTGTTATTATACATATTTGTTTGTGTTTTTTTATGTTGCTTGTTTTGTTTTGTGATCGCAGGCTGGGAATATGAAAAGTATATTCTATACTGAATAACTTGACAAACAATAGCCAAATGTTTTCCCTTTTCTTGAGTCTTCTCCCCAATGAAAGCAAGTGTGAATTGTGTTCCTAACAAAGGGAGGTTAAGATATAAGGAAGAAAAAAGCCAGAGAAGTAGTGATCAAAAAAACAGAAGCAAGATTCGTCCATGCTTTCATTCATTTCCTATCCTTTTTTCCCATTTCTCTGACCTATTTTGCTAGTAATAATTGATTTTTCACACCTGGAGACCACAAAACCATGGAGTAAGGTTCTGCCTGCAGAGTTTAGTGTGAGTATCCAAGCTTCTTAGCCATTAGGTGCTGAAGTTTTCTTCAGCTTGATCAGTCCTTGTTTCACCACCAAGGTAGCAGGTTTCAAGGTCAGTCTGTATATATTCATTTGTTCCACATAAAGATGGAAGTCATACACATAATATATTAAAATATAAGAAGAATGCCAAGGCGCAACAACCAGCAAGTTCCTTTTTTGTTTGGAAGCTAGCGTATGGTCTCTTAGCCAAAATGCCTCCAGTTCCTTAAAAAATACCATTAATGAATTACCACTGAATTAGCATTGCCATCTCCTGGTATGTATTCATCCTTCAGAACAAATCTAAACCTACACTTCCTTAAAGCTCTGCAATTTGCATTTAGAAAAAGTCACCTCTTCCAGAAGGATGGAAGAAACCATAAATCCAAGAGCTTTCTATAAGAACAGTAATCTAATATTTTAAAAATTTAAGGTTCTGATTCACAGCCTTTCACCTAGAAGTAAAATTAGAGCTGGCAACCAGTAATATACTAGATGATTTCTTTAATTATTTTTATATAGATTGGGAGTGATGCAAGAGCAGGAACCAGATCTTCTCAATTGTGCACCCACAGTACTAAAGTCAATATTTTTCACACAGTAGGACTTTAATAATTATCATTGAATTGAACTAAATTTGCTAACACTCAGCACCAAATATTCTTTTTCAGCTCTAGATGACTTAGAATACTTTCCTGTTTTGCTGTTATAGTTCATCTGGCCAATGAAATTTTATTGAGGAGACAGTGAATAAATTATATTGAAACTTTCCTTCAAGTAGAATTGAATTTACTTCACAAAATCATTATTTTTGAACCTGAGCATTCTACAAAGAATAACTCTAAAGAGAAGGAAAAAATACCACAGCATCCTTAAACATAGATCTAAAACTCAAGTCAACTATTCAGACAGGACCCTGTAGAGATTGATTTTGTGACTAAAGAATACTGTAGTATTTTCTTTCTTAGAAAGCAAAAAATTTAATTATCTTGAAGTTTCTCACATTTGAGCCATACTACAAATGAGCTGTGTCCAGGTACAGAAAAACCAACAATATTTTATTTATAATCTTATTTTTAGCTTTTTAACTACAAATTCTGGTTCTAGAGTTGTTTAAAAGTCATGGGTTTTATAGATGCTTATATGTAAATTAATCTGTTGTTTGCTCATTTTCTTTTCTTTTCCATAGAATTGTCTTCCTCATAAATACAGAACAGGTCATTACATGAAAAATATAAGATCTTGCATTTTTTTCCTTGTTCTCTCTTAAAAATCTATTTCTAATATTGCATTCCCCATTGGATTACTTCATATGGGTATGAGGGAAAAAGGAAAAAAAAATTAAAAATAGAGAGACAAAATAGACTGGATCTCACCACTAGAATTCACCATAAAAATCTCAAAGTGTAACAGAATTCTTACAAAATTTCCTAGACCAGTTCTTTTAGGAATTGAGATCTCCTATGAAAAATATGGCAATCAGGGAAGGGAGGAATGAGATGTGGGAAAATAGTGAATAAGTGCAGCAAAAACAGGTTCTGAGGAATACACATAATTTTGTCTGCTTTAGATCACAATAGAATTTTTAATAAATAAATTTCTTTTTTGTTTTTTTGTAAAGACACTTTTTTGAAACAGTAGATTTAGCCCAGTCATTTGTGTCATTTTTAATAAATTGTCTTTTTTTGATTGTTGTATGTAACTCTGTAAATGTTTTAGATTTGAGTCTCTTGTACATTGTCTTTAGAGTTCATTCGGATCAATAACGGTTCATGCACTGAACTGTGTATTGAATTTATTGTGTTAACTGTTGTTGTGTGGTTGAAGGGAGATTTGTATGAGTTATAGTGATTTAGGTGCTCATGCTCGATAGCAGGCATGGGCAGGTGGCTTTCCATGGGTGTGTCTCCCGTAATCTCATCATCCACATTAATGATTTCAACAGTCCTTGTTGGGGCATGATGGTTTTGCCGATGGTGCTGCTTTCTCATCTTGTAGAAAATGACCAGCATCACTGCAGCCATGAGCGTGATGGCCACAAAACACCCAATGATGATTTTGGTAGTCTTCATGACCTCATCGATTCCTGGGATCCCACTGTTTATATCAGTCACTGGGATGGTGAAGGTTTTCTCTGTCGACCTTGTGCTCTGTGGCGTGAGAGAGGTGGTCACATTGGTGGTCTCCCAGTCAACCACTGGAGTGGGACCCACATTGTTATCTGTGGTCCGTGCCTCATCCTGAGACGGTTCCATAGTCTCTACTGTGACGGTTGAAAAGTAAGAGAAAGGAGTAGTGGTTGCCGCAGTAACATTCAGGGTGGCTGATGCGGTAGTATTCCCAACGGAATTACTCACCATACATGTGTACATGCCTGTATCTTGCACAGTTACATTTGTGAAATTTAACGTACCATCACTGAGCACAGCTATCCTCACTTTGTATGCCCCGTGTGTCATGACTGTTCCATTTGGAGTAATCCAAGATACAGATGTCAGGGAGGTGGAGGCTCGACATTTCAACTCAGCTGCCATGCCTTCAGTGACATTGAGGTCTGCAGGGGGCTCCACAATCACTGGAGCATAGCATGTGAAATAATTCTGGTCAAGCTCTCCAATGTACCTCCCCTTTAGATTGGGAGGAGTGTTACACCGGGCACAACAAGCTGTGTTGGAGGGGGCCATGTCTTTTATCCACCAGCTGAGCCACAGTATGTCACAGTTACAGTTCCAAGGGTTGTGATGTAGATGTATCCGCTCTAGATGATGCAAGGGAGTGAAGAGGTCATGAGGCAGTAATGTTAGATTATTGTGTGCCAGGTTGATCTCCACTAGTGACTGAAGGTTGTCAAAGGCATTCCGTTCAATCACTTGAATCTGGGACTGTATCATCCACAGTTTTTGAAGGTGCATCAAACCCTGGAAAGAGCCAGGCCTGATGGCAGATAAATGATTCCCAGAAAGATCCAGCTCATCTAGTTTTATGAGCGGCGTGAGGTTAGGGATTTCCCGAAGGTTGCACATGGCAAGGTTCAAATACCTCAAGTTGGACAGACCTTCAAAGGCACCTTCTGAGATGTATGAAAGTCTTTTCAATTCCCCTAAGTCTAGTCGGCGCAAAGAAGGAATTCTGTTAAAAGCATAAGAAGGGATGCTTTCAATTGGGTTGTTTCGCAACCAGAGCTCCTTCAGTTTAGACAAGTATACAAAAGCTCCATTCGGGATGGTAGTAAGACGATTGTCAAAGAGTTCCAGAGTATTGAGGTTCGCCAGACCATTGAAAGCCCCAATTTCAATGGTTCTGATATGGTTCCTACTCAACTGTAGGATTTCCAAGTGCCTCAAGTGCTTGAAGCTGTTCACTTTGATGATCTGGATTTGGTTCTCATGGAGATTCAGCAGCCGTGTGTTGGTGGAGATGCCATCCGGAACCTCACGCAGGTTTTTCCGAACGCAGATCACCTTGCTGAATTGGTTGCTACAGGAGCACACAGAAGGGCAGGTCTGAGCCCGCACCAGACCAGCCACCACAAGAAGTTGAAGAGCCAGCAGCGCCACAAGCAGGGGGTCAAATAGGGCCCTGTTAAACCTAGGACCTATCATTATCTGCTGTGGATGTAAGGTCATCTTGTTCAACATTCATAATTTATCTGGTGTTGGTCCTTCTGGAATTCAAACAGTCTGCAAAATAAAAGCAAAAAAAGATTATTTAGATTTACTCTTAGTGTCTTTCTGGAGTAATGTCAGTGATATAGTGTATTAGCTAAAGCCATCATTTGTCAGACAAAAACAAATCTAATGTTCTTTATTATGTGGTTCATATTTAGAGGCAAATGTACCTTACTCCAAATTAGGAGCTGTCCAAAGACCACATTCCATGAGATGCATAACCACAGAGTAAGGGACCAGTGAGGTAGAGGACCGTAAAGTATTGTTTGCCAATCAAATGTGGCCCAAATTCATGAGGACATATGATGTATACTCTACCATAGCTTCAGTGTCCACAGCAGATTGAAAAAGTTTAGAAAATAGAACTTTGGGGCTATGTCAAACTAAAAGCTCCTTTGCAAAAGTAGTAATAGCTGACATTATATTGAAGGTTATTCTATGTACCAAACACCGTGGGCTATAGACTTTACAAACAAGCCTGTCTAGAAATGGCTACAGAATTTGTGGTTTTCAGCGTGAAATAAAAATGTAGGAAGCCTTATAAAATTAATAATTTCAAATCAGTAACAAAAGTCCATTAAACCAAGTTTGGGTCCATCTAAATGTGGATTTCTTTGCAGCTGCACAGGATGTAGGTCTGTGAAGCTAGCTGCAATCTTTTGTCATCCTTACAACACTTCTCTGAAGTAGAAATTGTCATTCTTTTCATTTTCAAAATGAAGAAATATAGAAGTGACATTCAAGAAGTCAAATGTTACTATAAATCAATCAGGGCTCAGACGTTCATCAGACTGGTCCCAGAAGATATGATCTAAGATATAACATAAAAATGTTGCTATGAGAATAAAGGTAAATGCAAAATATTTTTCACATAGTGAAAATATTTTGAAATATTTTTCAATCGTGAAGGACTTGCCCATAAGCATGACTTTCGTATGCAAACCAGCCAATCCAAAGGTCAAACCCTAGCCACCTTATAAGGCTCTCCCAGGACACTTTCACTGAGACCAACATTCCCCTTCCCTAATCACCCTATGTCCACTTACCAGGCAACAAGAGACAGCCCTTATGTCCCAGAGACTGCTCAGATTGTTCAAAAACCAGCCAATCATAAGCCTGCTTACCCTGCCTTTCCCTAAAACCACAATAAAGGCTCTTGCTCACGTTTTCCGCTGGCTGCTTGGTACAGGCTGACCCTGCTGCTTCCCAATGTGGGCTCCTCATGCTGTGTCATGCCCCCTCCAGCTGTGAGCTGTGAGTAAAATCATCACTTTCTTTTTTTTTTTTTTTTTGAGAAGGAGTCTTGCTCTGTTGCTCAGGCTGGAGTGCCGTAGCGTGATCTCAGCTCACTGCAAGCTTGCTTCCCTGATTCAAGCGATTCCTGTGCCTCAGCCTCCGGAGTAGCTGGGATTACAGACACATGCCACCACGTCTGGCTAATTTTTTTTGTATTTTTAGTAGAGACGGGGTTTCACCATGTTGGTCAGACTGGTTTCAAACTCCTGACCTCAGGCAAAACGCCTGCTTTGGTTGCCCAAAGTGCTGGGATTACAGGCGTGAGCCATCATGCCTGGCCCCTCACTTTTTAAATGGCAGCCACCTCCTGATCTGGTGCCTCACTCTAGCTAAATAATAATAACTGCATTCTAAAACAATCACTAAGCAACAGGGCCTGGCTCGTCATGTCAATCCTGTTAATAGGTTTTATAGGATTACTCCCCTGTCCCATTTATATCATGACAACAGTGTGGTTGGTAGGTTTCACATCCTAAGTCAGATAGAGTTATCCTCATTGTAAATTTAAATATGGGCTTAAATGACTCTTTTCTATTTCCATTGTCAATAGAAAGCTATCTAAATTACCAGTAATTATGACCATTGAAAATTTATCATTTGAATGATTTAGTGTAGTTTCACATATGCCCTCTCCCCTTGAAACCTATGTCTGTTTCAGGGAGAGAGGGCATATGTTATTAAGGTTATTGGGCATAAAATAACATAGCATGCAAAATCCCTGATATATAAACAAATTAACATTTCTAGGGCCCTGGTCCCACGGTCCTGCTCCTCCATTCTTTCTCCTATTCCCTACCCTGTAGCTCTCCCCAGAATCCTAGGGTCTCAGGCAAAACAGGTAGAAATAGCTGGTTGACTGGAAATAGCACAAAAGTAAAGAAGATAATTCCTTACTCTGCTGTTTGCTACCTTTTTCTTTTTAAACTATGATGCAGTAAAGGCAACCATGCTCTGTGGTCAAGAGAAAAGGGTTTAATGTGAGACTTCTTGAGATCATAATCCCTGTTTGAACCTCAATGACCTTAAAATTGAGAGTTACTTCATATCTCTATACGTTCCCCATCTGTGAAAGAGCACTATTATCTACTCAAAAGGCTTTTTTTAGGGCTGTCATGTAATACTGTATATGTAAAGTTACTGGTACATAAGAAGTAATATATTATAGTCAAAGATATTAAAAATAAAGTGATAGCACACTCAGTTTCTTCCTCTTTTAAAAGACAGGAGCAACAATAATATCTCATTGAAATTTGTGGTAGGGATTACTAGATATAATCAGGAACATACTATCAGTAAAACATATGCAACGATGACATATTACTATTAATTATAAGGTATATGCATTTATTCTTTCTTACTCTCCAGGCTGAGTTTTATTTTCTACTTCTTGCTTACTTCAAGGTCTTTGTGCTATTGGAATAAATGAGATTTTCTATAAATCAGTCATAAGTAACACTTTACAAATTATAGCTGGTTCAAATCTAATTTATAACCTACAGCAAATAATGCTTGGTACATGCACTGAATTAAATCAACTACTATCAACAAAAGGTTTTTTACTTTAATATCTAAATTATGTTACTTTATATCAAAAACTAGGTTTCAACATCTCTTTCATAAGATGTTTTTATCACATCAAAAGAAAATTAAAGTATGCACTATCCATTACAATATCATCTGACAGCATTTATTTACAAATGCATTTGTGTGAGTTTTGAATTAAACTATGATACTTTTAGCCTTGTCCTGGAGGATATCTTGACTTTATCAGTTGACTTTCTTCCTTTACTACCTATGCTTTAGTGCACTCAGAGCCTGTGCAGTGAAGCAACTATATGTGAGTTAGCTAACAGAGATTCATTATTTAGCACAGCATCATTGCTAAGTCATCATAGGCTTTGTCTAGACATTAGAACTGGTTTTTAAGCAAGGAGGGAGAAAGATGAATTCAGTTAGCCACAACTGTACCCCTTCTTTCCCTTCTCACATTATCCTTAACAAACCTCCCTAAACAGAACCAAAACTGCTTACCCCTGGACCCTAGGACTCCAAACCACACCTTACTGTCTACATAAATATGACTTTGCTCTTCCACTGTCTGTCTTAGCATCTCTTTCCTCTTCTGTGGCTCTTCCACCAAACCAATTCACTGATCCTTATGGGAACCTCCCCCAAAGTCCCATCCACTCTTTGATGGAAAATTCAACAGACATTTGTGCTCAGATTTACTGAATCTCTTGACTCACCTTGCTGTTTTCATCAATCCTGAATTATTGTGTCATAATTCTTGTATAATCCTGAACAGGTTCCTATATTGGAAAACCTTCCTAGAGTCAAACTTAAAATTTAATTAAAAAAAAAATTCAAAGTTCCTGGACACATGTGCAAGGCATGCAGGTTTGTTAGATAGGTAAGCATGTGCCATGGTGTTTTGGTACACCTAGCCACCCATCACCTAGGTATCAAGCCTCACATGCATTAGCTATTTTTCTTTATGCTCTCCCTCCCCGCTGCCACATCCCAAACAGGCCCCAGTGTGTGTTGTTCCCCTCCCTGTGTCTATGTGTTCTCACTGTTTAGCTCCCACATAGAAAACATGCAGTATTTGGTTTTCTGTACCTGTGTCACTCAAGCTTCCAATTCTTAATAAATTCTGAGCTAATCTTCACAGCTCCTCTCACAGACACTGCCAAATTTTTGAGGTGATACTTTTCCTTACCACCATAATCAGTAAAGTCAGCTCTGCCTTATCAACAAGTTGTATTGATGATATTTGGGGAATTAGCTTTTTACAATACTAAAGGTGTATTATTCATTTAAAATGTGCTTGAATCTCAAACAGTAACTTCACCCTCTCCCACCCCACAAACACAAATTTGTTGCCTACCCAAACATTCTACCCCCTTACTCTTTTCTAAGAAAATTTTATACAGAAAAATTTACTCCCATGCAAAAAAAGAAAGAAAAAATATAAAATACTGTTTTATCTGTTTTAGGAGAGACTGAACCATTACTGAAGGGTGAATAGAATTTGGTTTAAGCTAGAAGTAGGCAAACTTCTTTTCCTGTAAAGGGCCAGATAGTAATTATTTCAGGCTTTGTAAGCCATATGATCTCTTGTTGCAACTACACAATTATGCCACTGTAGCAGCCATAGACAAAAGGTAGACAAATGGGCATGGCTGTGTCAATGATACTATTTATAGTACAAAGTAATATTTTCGGAAATTGTAGTTACAGCAATCAGACGTGACAAAGGACATCTTGCAAAGGAAGAAGTCAAATTATCTTTGTTTGCACATGATATGATCTTATGTTTGGAAAACCTTAAGGGCTCTACCCAAAAACTATTAGAACAGTTAAGCAAATTCAGTAAAGCTGCAGAATACAAATACAAAAGTAAGTAGTATTTCTAAATGCCAAGTGCAAAGAATCTGAAAAAAGAAATCAAGAAGTTAATCTCATTTACTATAAATACAATAAAATAAGAATTAAAGAACTGAAAGATCTCTACAATGAAAACTAAAAAACATTGATGAAAGAAATTGAAGAGGACACATAAAAAGTGAAAAGATATTCCACGTTCATGGATTAGAAGAATCAATAGTATTAAAATGTCCATATTACACTAGGCAATCTACAGATTCAATGCAATCCCTGTTAAAATACCACAGACATTCTTCACAGAAATAGAAAAAAAAAAAATCTTAAAATGT